TAACAGCGATCACTAGACTGTTGGCTGCTATGTACACCTAATACACCAGAGTGCTTTGCCGTTACAAAGGTCAGTCAAGCTTGCTACTTCGGAAATGTTCACGTTAACAGCCACTGTGTATAGACACTGTTACAAGTGAAGCTCGGAACAGTTCAGTGCATTGTTGTAGGTCGTAGGCTCCGCAGCCTATACACTTGGGATCCCAAAGTCTTTCAATTTGTCTACATAAATTTGTACTTCCTAAAAAGACTGGGCATTGGACTTCCCAACTTACATGGCTTCACTTTACCCTTTCCTGAGGAATGCCAACACCTTTCCTCAGAAAAGTTTTATTCTCAGTACCAATTATAAAATGAGTTCTTACCAATATTGTGAGATAAATAAATAATATTTAAAAATCTCAGCAAGCTATGAATAGAAAAGAACTTCCTCAACCTGATAAAGAGACTCTGAAGATCTATAGCTAATACCATATTTAATAAAGTGACCCAGAAAAATCTAAGGTATCTGCTCTATTCTGCTTCTATTCAGCACCGTACTGGAGGTCTCACTGAAGTAAGAGAAGAAAAAGAAATAAATGCCATAAAAAAGGAAAAAATAAAACTACCATTAGTCTCAAGTGAAATTCCATTTATAATAGCTTCCCCTAAATCCACAAAATGCTTAAAGGTAGACCTGGGCCTGGGATATAGCTCAGTGGTGCTAGCGCCTTCCTGGCAAGCACAAGGTCCAGAGTTCAATTCCCGGTACCGATAAAATAAAATAAAAATAAAGGTAGATCTAACAACAGATATGCAAATCTGTGTATCAAAACTATAAAACATGTTTTGCAAGAATTAAAGATTTAAATAAATGAAGAAAAGTGTCACGCTCATGATCCAGGACATTCAGTATTAAGACATCTTTGTTCTCCAAATTGGTCTATGGATGCAACATCATCCAAATAAAAATCCCAGTTGGATATTTTTCTAATTGACAAACATATGAAATTCATCTGAAAATACTGTCTAGTCAAAGCAATTCAGAAAAGAGGAGCAGGTCTGGGAGCAACTTTTCCATGTTGGAGCAAGAATACGAAGGGTTCCAGGAGAGAAGTCTTCAAGAAAGAAAATAAATTAACAGGCCAAGGGCTGTAGGTGCAGCTCAGCTGTAGAGAGCACTTGCCTAGCAGGAGCGAAGCCCTGGATTCAATCCCTAGTACTGTTTTAAATAAATGAAGAGGGCTGGGGATTTAGCTCAGCGGCAAAGAGCCTGCCTGGCAAGCGCAAGGTCGTGAGTTTGGTTCCCGGTACCGGAGAAAAACCAAAACCAAAAATAAATAAATAAATAAATAAATGAAGAAAAATGTCATGTCAAGAAAAATGAACTAGGAGATTTATCCTAGTACTGAAAAAAAAAAGGTTTAAACATATTCAGGATTATCAAATGGATGTGAATATAGCAGGAGAGGCATCTGGGACTGATGAAATAAGTAAACGGAAAATCCTATTATGAGATTCTGGGAAAACAGGGCTGGTGTAAAGAAAGGACATGAAACATCACATCCACCTGTGAACAGCGGACTGAGCAAACACTTAACAAAATGTTGGCTGGACCAAAAATGTGATGTCCTGGGACAATGGGAAGGCAGTGTTTGTGTCTGGTTGGGCTGGGATGAAAGCAGCAGATGAGCTGAGAGAACATGAAACTCTCAGTCATAGTAGAAAATCCATAGGCAGCACATAAAACGTGCAGAGGGGTCAAGAACTAGCAGAATAAATACAATTTTGAGAAATATGTGGACCCTATTGGCAAACTATCTTTGAGAGTCGAACTCATTGTCTTTGCCTGCAAGGATTGGGGCTGGAAGGTTTCTGGTTCTCATTGTAAGCGCTAGAAAGCCATTTCACATTTTTAACAATGTATGGAAGCTACTTTGATTTAAAAAAGAAAGACTAAGTGCCGGGCATGGTGATGCATGCCTGTAATGTTAGACTCAGGAGGCTGAGGCAGGAGGATCACTGTAAGTTTTAGGCCAGTCTGAGCTACATAGTGAGTTCAAGGCCAGCCTAGTAAGATCCTGTCTCAAAAAAGAAAAGAAAAACTAATTTTTAAAAACTCAACTATTACTACTTTTTGCAAAAAAAAATTCATTTCTACCCTCAAGCTATTGGGTTTAAAGACAGAATAGCAGGATGGATGGAAACAAACAACAGGGAGAGGCCAGGTGTGAGCCCCTGGTGGCTTTGCAGGTGAAGCCCAGAGCATGGTAACAGCAAAAGGCTGACTCTGCGCCATCTGTAGGTGAGTGCTCATCCCTGGGAAGAGGGGTTTCTGGAAAGATCTGTAGAACAAAGGGAAGATGATCATTTTATTTCATTTACATCTGGGAGATTTTCAGCTTCTGAAGGGTCCTTATTAAAACGCCAGTTGCTGGGAAAGGGGCAATCTTGAATCTCTAAGGGATGAAACCTGGATTATCAGCTGGTATTTTTACTGCAGCAAGCAAGAATGGGCTGCCGGATAGGAGGGCAAGAGATGGCAAGGAGCCGTGTTTGGCAGAAAGGGGAACTAGTTTATAGGAAAATGGGAGATTGTGAGGTGACTCCTTGGTGCTGGAACATTTCAGCCAAACCTACAGAACAATGTTTATCTTGGTACTGGAGCGTGAACCCAACGCCTTCACACTGAGTTACATCCCTGGCTTTATTTTGCTTTGTATTTTGAGACAGTGTCTTGCTAAGTTGCCCAAGATGGGCTCAAACTTGGGATCCCCCTGCCTCGGCCTCCCAGAGTGCTGAAATTAGAGATATATGCCACCATGCATGGCTAAATTTAATTTTTTTAAATTAGCAAACATTATGAGAGCATCCATTCATATCCCAACCACTGTCCCCTACTTTATCCCTGATGCAGACCCCACCCCAAACCCCAACCCCATTCCTGACCACCTGCCACTTTTGACCCTGGCTCCATTTTTACATTCACCCATCAATGATCCCAGACCCATCCTGGGCATAAGCCCTTTCCTGAGGGGAACCTCCTGGCCATCTGATCCTCATCCTGTCTACTGATTGAAACACCAGTACAGCAGTGCCTTGGTTCACAAACTTAATTCTTTCCACAATTCTGGTCACAAACCAAATTGGACAAGATTTGAATCAAATTTCCCCATAAGGCCAACATTGACCCTAACCACTAAATTTGATTTGGCTCTCATCCAATTTGGATTGTGACCAGAATCATAGAAAGAATTAAGTCTGTGAACCCAGGTACCACTGTATTTGGTATGTCAATACACTGTATTAATGAAGTATCAAAATCCTGACATTAAAAAAAAAAAAAAAAAAAAAAAAAACAAAATCCTGACATTGAAAAAAATCTGAAATCCAAGCTAGGCATCATGGTCCATATCTGTAATCCAAGCACTCGGGAGGCTGAGGCAGGAGGTGATCCTGAGGAGGATCACCATGGGTTCAAGGCCAGCCTGTGTTACATAGTGAGTTCAAAGCTAGACTGAACTACATATGGACGCCCTGTCTCAAAAAAAAGGAAAGCTAAATCACCTAAATCACCTAAATCACCTTGAGCTATGCCTACAGAATCACGTGCCACCTTAAAAAACCTAATCAACTAATATTACACTTGTCTGAAAAGAGTTCTAACTATATCCCTCCTCAGTTTAAAACTCTCGCTTGCTGTTTTACTACTGTTTAATTCTCATCAAATTACAAACAATCCTGGCTGTCTTTTCCTATGTTTATTGGTTGTTTGTGTTTCTCTAGACCCAGTGTGGACCCTCATTTACTTCCAGGGGACCTGAGGCAGTTGACCTTAGGGTGACATAGAAAGAAGGAGAAGGAAGATGGGTGCTAAGGAAATAGTAGAAGAGGTGGAGGGACGCTAAGGGAGAAGGAGGGGAAAGAAGCCCCCGTTTTCTACCTTCCTTACCTGATTCTTTCTGATTCTTCCCTGCTTCTCTCCTGAGTCAGAGCTACCCCTGAGGACGTGAGCCCCTGACTGCTTCCCCACCAGCCTGCCTGGAGACCCTCGTGTGGGCCAGGCAGAGGCTCCTCAGAAACCTCTGGAAGCTGCTAGAAACTCCTAGAAGAAGGCTTCAATGATAGTCCAGAGAGGATGGAGGCTATACCAATGAAGGCTTTTTGCTCCAGCCTTGTAGCCTCTCTGACACCCATTCCATTTCTGACCCCTCCCTGGGACTCCTTACACCCCCACACTTATCCCACCCTAACCCTCCCTCCAACCTGGTCCTGGCCATAGATGGACTCTCCCTGTCTCTAATCCCTTTCCAAGTCTCTGACTCTTACTCAGCTCATCCTGACCTCCAGATCTCTCCCTATTCCTGACATTCATCTTCTGACTTTTCACCTGACCCAAGCTACCACCCCATCCCTGTACCCGCCTCATCATTCACTCCAACCTCTCTGGACTGTCACTGAAGCCTTCTCTTAGGAGTTTCTGGAAGCTTCCAGAGGTTTCTGAGGAGCCTCTGCCTGGCCCACACGAGGTTCTCCAGGCAGGCTGGTGGGAAAGGAGTCAGGGGCTCTCGTCCTCAGGGGTAGATCTGACTCAGGAGAGAAGCAGAGAAGAAATCAGAAAGAATCAGGTAAGGAAAGCAAAAAACGGAGGCTTCTTTCTCCCTCCTTCCCTCTCACCCGTCTCAGCTTTGACCACAATCCCTCCTGGGAGCCTCAGTCTCAGGCCATCCTGACAGTTCCCGTCCCACATAAACCAGCACCTTCCCAGATTTACTCCAGCTCTTTGGAGCTGGGTCTGTGCCATTAGTAATCACAGGAACCCCGACATCATCGGTACTCACTTTCAACACTTCACAGGTCAAAACTAGAATGACGATAAAGCACAAAGTCAACCTCGAGGAGCGAAGTGTGTTGCCCAGGACAGCAGGAGGGTGACAGGGAGAGAACAGATAAGAGGTTCGGAGAGCAGATGGCGTGCGAGTGAGCTCAGGCTTTTTTAACACCATTCATTCATTCAATAAATATTGACCGAGCATTTAATGGGCTCTGGGCAGTGTGTCGGACACCAGGGATGTAGAGTGAACAAAACAGAAGAGTTTTGCCTTCAGGGATGGAAAACAGAAACTACAGTAATTCCAAGGAAGCATGGGGGGGTGGCTAGTACAATACAAAGGAGCCAGGCGAGATCCACCCCAGGAAAGAAATTTTATTGGAAATATGGGGCTGGCCGGCTGACTGCCAAGTGTGTGCAGGTCTGTGAGGTTGCTAATGCTCCATGTCAGGTTGGAAGTGTCAAGAGGGTGAGTCTTGTTCCATCCACAGCTCTGCACATATCCAGCATGTTCATTGCCTGTCTCTGATCATGGAATAAAGAGGACTTCATGCTATAGCACTGGTTTCCCGAACATCCACAGCACCCCAGGGGAAATTATGTCCGGCTCCAGCACAAGGCCACCTGGTGGTGTGATGCTTCAGCAGCACCTGCCTTGAGATCCTCAGCAGATACTACAACTGCAAGGGGTGGGACAAGAGTCCCATGAGATCAGAGGGCACAGAAAAAATGCAGCCTGCTTAAGACATGCTCGGCGTTTGGGGTGATGATCCAGCAAGGACTAACAAGAGGGTCCTGCCCATTTGGGAAAACAGCTTTGGCCCTAGTTCTTTGCTTTACTGTAAGATGCGGGCTACAGGTGTGACCATGCTAATTACCTAGTTAATGGATCAAAGATGCACAAGTTCAACAGAAATGAGGCTGCTCCTTTTCACGGCCGTGTGAAGCTGGCCCTTGGAGGTCTCTGGCACTTCCTCAGAAGGCTGAGGTGGTCCCTGAGGCACCGGTCCCTAACTCCCCCACACTCTGTAGTTGCCCCTCAAACCCAGAGGATCTGTTTGAGCCAGTCTATCCCACCCACACAACCTTGGGCTGATGGCTCTTCTTTCCTTAGAGAGTGAGAGACTCTTTCACCAGTGGAATTCAGAGGTTTGAAGCGATAGTGCTGGAGGAGCAGTGAGAGGGAACACGGTGACGGGCCAAGAACTCCTTGCTGATCAGACCGCGGGCAGCGAGGACCTTGAGGAGTCCTTGGCGAAACTTTTGGCCAATGAAGGCATAGATGATGGGGTTGAGGCAGCTGTGGAGGAAGCCCAAGATCTCAGTGACCTCCAGGGCTCGGTCAATATGATTGCGGCGCTCACAGGTCTCTTCGATCCAGTGGTTCCTCATGAAGGTGTCCACAAGCAGCACCAGGTTGTAGGGCAGCCAGCAGAGCAGGAAGACAAGCACAACAGCAAAGATGACCCTCATGGCCCGGTGCTTCTGCCCCATTTGGGCCTTAAACAGTGTGCGCAGCGTGAAGCTGTAGCAGAACAGCATGATCAGCAGTGGCAGGATGAAGCCGAAGATCTGGAACACGAAGCGCAGCACCAGGCGCCATTTGGTCGTGTCACTACCCAGAAACTCGTAGCAGACAGTGATGGACTCGTTTAGAGGGAAGGCTTTGCGGAAGAGGAAGGTGGGCAAGGAGAGAATCAAAGATACTACCCAGATGCCCATGCATATGAACTTGACCAAGTGGCGCTTTTGGGTCAGAGTGTGTGTGGCGTGGACGATGGCCAGGTAGCGGTCCATGCTGATGCCGGCGAGTAGTAGAATGCCGCTGTAGAAGTTGACTTCCTTCAGGAGAGAGACGATCTTGCAAAAGGGTGTGCCAAAGATCCAGCCCTTCTCCTTGTTGACAGCCCAGACAGGCAAGGTCAGGGCAAAGAGCAGGTCAGCGATGGCCAAGTTCAGCAGGTAGACATCAGTGACAGAGCGGGTGACCTGGCTGGATAAGATGACCACCATCACCAGAGAGTTTCCCAGCAGGCTCAGCAGGAACACCATGATATAGACAGCAACCAGAGCAGAGCTGCTGAGCACATCAGCGTCCGTATCACAGGGTCTAAAATCTTCTCCTGTGGGTGGCATGCCAGTGAAATTTTCAAACCCCTCAAACCACATCTCATCAGAAACACTCCAAACGAAGTTCTGAAATTCACCCATGGTTGGCTCTAGTGGAAAGGTGAGAAGGAAAAAAAAGTGATTTAGTAACTCAGATTGAAATCGCTCTCGTTATAGATGTGAAGGGACAGCTTTTACTTCTCTTTTGCTTTGGCAACCAGCGATTCCCCTCTTCACCTCCAGTTGGAGCTTCTTTCAAAGTTGGCTGCCCAGAGGCACCAACCTTCCATAATTCAGAGGCCCAGCCCGAGTACAGGATAAGACAGAATACAGGGAAGATACTTTTGCCCTTAGTTGACCCTACAACCACCCCGACTCTACCTCCAGCCTGAACTCTTCCCCTTTTACCCTTCTCTGTCCTCAGCCATGTCTGTGCATTAAGATGACGGGGGACCAACCTGATGGCCTCATGCATTCAGGGGGAGGCCAGCTCTCAGCAAAGTAGAAGGAGCAAGCCTGCACAGGTGTCGCTTTCTACCTTACTTCTCCTTCTATGTTCTCCCTAATTCTTGTTTACCCTTCTTAAAATATGCTAGGAGAAAGAACTGATGACATTTAACTGCATTACATTACATGGATGTTCTTTGACTTACAATGGGGTTGCATCCAGGTAAATCCTTCCTAAGTTGAAAATATCCTAAGTCAAAAGTGCATGGAGTACACCTGACCTACATCATAACTTAGCTTCACCTACCTTAAACATTCTCAGAAGAGTCCATTAACCTACAGTAGGGGGGAAAGCCCTCTAGCACAAAGCCTGTTTTATGATAAAATGTTGAATATCTAATGTAATTTATTGAATACTATACTGAACATGATAAACAGAATGGCTGTTGGTAAAGTCAGAACTAATGCATCAAACCAACAGATGATGGGGCCAGTTTATATTTTAAGCCTGTCTTAAATGACTAGTAAACATTTTGGTCCTATGTCTAAAGAAAGTTTAAGCATGTGAAAGGACAAAATCTCCATCTTGTTCCCTAAAATCCCCTCCTAAATATCCACATTCAGCAAGTTTTCAAGTAGTTATTTTTTAATCATGAAATACTGTCCAAAGCCCAGAAGCACAATCTGTGAACAGATCAAAGCCACTTTGCTGGGGGAAAGAGGATTATGTGCTACTCTCTCTGCTTAGACAGCACCCACGGAGCACCCCCAAGCCCCCAGGATTCTCTAGAGAAATATCTGAAAGTCTCCGAAGTTATCCAGGTGGGGTCTGGACCTGGGTACCCACTCTCTCCTGAGTAAGCTTGACTGGGGCCCTTTTCCCCTGTAGATCTCCAGTTTCTCTCTGCACATTGACAGGAGGCAAAGAAGGTAACTCCTTGTCTACTTCCAGGTCTAGCATTCTGATAAGTTCATTCTAGTGGATAGTTCACCCCACACATTCTAGTACATTCTCTCCTTGCCAGTATTTGCATTTCCATAGAAGACAAAAATCTTAGGATAAAGCAATAAACATCCAACGGGCAACTGTCAAACTCTGTCCTACAAAAGAAAGGATGAAGAGACCGTGGCCTCCTAACACCAACCACATCCACATAGGAGGTTAGAGTCAAACACACAGTCAAAAGAAGGTGGAGGAAAGAGGCCAGTTTAGCAGCAGCCCTCAGATCCCATAGGAGTGAGGGCATTTTCTAAAATAAAGTTAAACAAACCCTCGTACCCCAAAGAAAGTCCTGCCAAACAAGAGGCTTCCTACCTGAGGCACGAGCCAAGTGTGTCTGATGTAGAAGACAGCAGCTCAGAGACCAGAGTGACCTAACAGAGGGAACTAGATGAATAAAGAGAAATTGAGAAACCACACAAGACCACACCTCCCTCCTGAGCGCCACCCATGTCTGCATTTGGGAACAGATTAATACAAGATCTCAGCCCATCAGAGACTCCAGGGATCTGTATGAACTAAGGAGGATTACCAGGTATGAAGTTGGAGTTAAAGTTCCAGTATCTGAATTCTCCACTCTGTGATGATCACTTTTATCATTTGTTCCCCAAATTCCCTAGTAGATGGCCTTTGAAAACTTTCAGCGTTCCTGACAACAGTAAAGCTGAGCTGGGTGTGGTGACACATGCCTGTAATTGCAGCTACTTCAGAGGCTGGGCAACAGGAACACAGATTTTGAGGTCAGCCTGGGCAACTTAGTAAGACCCTATCTCAAAATTTAAAAAAAATCTTAAAAGGGCTAGGAATGCACTCAGTGGTAGGGCCCTGAGTTCAGTTTTGAAAAGCTGGCCGGGTGTGGTGGTGCATACCTATAATCCCAGCACTTGGGAAGCTGAGGCAGGAGGATCACTGCAAGTTTGAGGCCAGCCTAGGGTACATAGTGAAATCAAGGCCAGCCTGAACTACATAGCGAGACCCTGTTTCAACCCCCCCAAAAAAAATAATTTCCAAAATTAACAAGAAATAAAAAGTAATAAATGTGGAAAAGATTTGACATTTTACAACAAATGCTTCAGAAGAAGTCTACGGTAGGAGGGACTTGGGGGTTGGCTGGCGGGGAGGAGGCAGAAGACCACATTTATACTGTATTTGGAAGCAAGCACACAACTTTTACTTAAATGTTAGGCTTCTTTGGGGCCTAGAGAAGACTTGGAGGAAAATTGAACTCCCCTCTTTTGCTCTATTACTGCCAATTATTGATCCACTCAAATGGCTCTGGAGCTGGGGGCCTGAGCCAGTCCTAGAGTGCAGCTAGACAGCAGAGAGACCGCTGGGGCTGGGGCCGTCAGTGGCAGAAGAGCTGCAGACTTATTGCTGCTCCCTTCCGAAGTGAAGGACCGCTTTTCTGCAACCAACATGAGGCGGCCAGCAGCTAACTACTGTGCCCTGGCTTTATTCCTCCAGCACTAAAATCATGTCTCCATTATAACACGAACCCTGCGGTACTGTAGGGGTGTGTCTATGAGCCAGGCTTCTCACCTTCACTATGAGCTGCTAGACAGCAAGGCCTCCCTTTAATTCATCTCTGTATCATCTGCCAGAGAGCACAGTTCACGCTCAGCCAGTGGCTGGGGAAAGAATGACGTTAGACGTAGCTCATGAGCTTGGATCACCAGCACCATCCGAGTGTCCATCACTGTCAGCCCGGAGTGTACATCTGAAAGCTTCACTTCCTACAGCGGGGCTGCTTTGCCGGGCAGTGCCCCTGCCCAGCCTGCTCTGCTGTTTGAAGTCAACACCTACCACAGGAGTGTAAATCCTGCCCCTGTCACAAATGCCAGCTGTGTGCGCGGCTGGTGCCTACCATTGTGCCACTTGCAGGGACGGTGTCCAAGCTAAGTCATGCTCTCTTCCTGGGCTCTGGTCACATTTCTACATTTATAGTGGCAGGAAGTGTAAGGAGACAATTGCCCTGGCGTTACTCACCCTCCAGTACTTTCGCTGATCCTGGACTATTGGGATCTGCTGCCCTGACCGGAAAATGGGGTGGTCCCAGAAAGGAAGGGACATCCCTTCATTAATCACCCAGGGAAAAGGAAGCTCCGTGCCAGAAAACAGTGACTGGGGACACAGGAGAAAAGAAACGGTAGGGCCTCGCCTGTGAATACAGGTCCGTCCGTGTGCCGCGTTAAAGAACAAGCCGAGGCGGTGGGGGAAGCAGTTTGGCCACAAGGGGGCAGCAGTCTCCAGACAGTGAGCCCCCTGAGCTCTATGCGTTGAAAAAGACTAGGGTCAAGAGCAGTCCCGTCCAAAACCAGTTTTTAAAGTTCTTTGTGGATAGTTAGTTCCCTTCTGCTTTTCCTAAGCCCTTGGTCAAATCGGTTCACGAACCCCCTTTACTGCAATGAATCACAGAGTCTCGGGAAAGGTCTGGTCTGGTCTACCCTGGAGCCCAGCAGCGCACCCGGATGAGCACCGAGTGACAATCGGGATCGCTCGAGTCTCCACGGGAGGCTGGATCTAGAGGACAAGGGTTGAAAAGAATCTTTCCCTTTGCGGTAGGAAAGCGCATTTCACTGGAGAAGGGGGAGAGGCAGAATAAAATTGTTCCCATTTGGAAAGGTTCCAGCAATTCAGCCCACCCAACACATCTTCCACACTCTGTTCTCAGTTACAACCGCTGCTCTTACTCCGAGCTGTTCTGTTCCTCGTGCTACGAGAACACTCCGTGCTGACTGTGACAGGTGCGGCCCCAGTGCAGTCATCTGGCAAAACGTGGGGGCACCTTGCGGGTAAGCTGTTCTCCCCACTCTGTTTTTCCCCTCTGTGGCGGCTTCCGTCAAGTCAGTGTGAGCCGCACGATGTGCTGTAAGTGTACGGTTTTTGTCCCTGTGCCAGCTTGATGCCCATGGAAGCATCTCCTCACATTCCTCCTGAAGAGTCCATTTGGCTCTGCAGATCGCAGTGGAGGAAAAGGAGGTAGAAAAGTGTTTGTCCCCTCTCCCTGTGACACCCTCATCACCACAGTGACAGCTTCAGAGGGTACCTATGTGACGTAAGGCAAGCCAATCAGAGCAAAGGTCGGGATGTTTGTTCAGTACCTGTGAAAAAGCAAATTTATTGTCCTGTGGCACCTGGCAGCCACTTTGCTACCGTAAATGGTAACACCAATGCAAAGACAAACACCAACACGCACAGAGGAGGGCAGAGCCGAGAGAATGAGACGCAGCCAGGTCCTAACCACAGCGTGTCCAGCTTCTCTCTGCACTTTAAAATCACACAAACCAGTACATTCTCTTCATTATCAAGACTAGTTCAAGGTGAGTTGAACCTGCAGCCAACACAACACACTGAAAGTTCTAGAAAACGAAAGTCATGGAGGATGAAAGGCCGTCAGGCATGACTGCTGCCCCCTTGTGGCCGAGGGGGACTGTGACAAGAGGCTAGAGCAGGAGTTGGCGGAGGGCAGTCCCAGTCCTGACAGCCAAGCTCCAGCAGAAGCTAGAGAAGAACGTTTAAAGTGGCCCCTTGAGGACCCATTTGAGGGACTCCCTTCCTGAGCAGATTCACCAGTGCTCACAAGGGGACCCAGAAATCTCTCTTGGGAGCCAGACAGACCGTGATTCAAATGCCAGCTGTACTTTATCAGTCTGTGATGTTAATTACCCCGATGTGATCAGTACATATCGTACACACGTGTATTAAAATAGCGCACTGTGCAGCATAAGTAAACACAATCATTATGGGAGGACTGAAAAAGATTGAATGTTTAAAGAGAAGGAAACGGGGCCGGGGATATAGCTCAGTGGCATAAGTGCCTGCCTGGCAAGTGCAAGGTCCTGAGTTCGATTCCCAGTGCCAAAAAAAAAAAGTTCAAATTGAAATAAAATTTGGGCTGGGGATATAGCTCAGTGGCATAAGTGCCTGCCTGGCAAGCACAAGGTCCTGAGTTCGATTCCTGGTACCAAAAAAAAAAAAAAAAAAAAAAAAGAATGTATAAAGAGAAGGAAATGTTGGCTAATTTGATCATCACACACTACACTGTATACATTCGTTAAATTATGGCACGTTTAAATTATGGCCAATCAATGTGTGCTACTAAGATAAAAAAAATAAAGCAGGGCCTTATTCACTGAATCACTACGAGGCTCAGTGAGTTAATACATGTTAGGATCTTAACAGATAATAAGTGTTCAGTCACTTTTAGCTGTCTTTATACAAACCTTCTCTCAAAGGTGCTACTGGGGAAATGTGTACCCAAAATATTTTAAAATGCAGATGCTTTATCTCCGCAGTTACATTTAATGTGAGGAGAGGAAGGAAAGGAAGAAGGGAGAAGGAGGAAGAGAAGGAGGAAGGGAAGGAATGGGTAAAAAGTTTATCACAGGTGTTCATAACAATAAAATGGCAATAATTTCAGTGTCCTTCAAAAAGTATTTATAGTAGCCCTCTAGAACAGGAGAGCAGCCAGGCGTGCTGGTGCACACCTGTAAGCCCAGCCCTTGGGAGGCTGAGGCAGGTGGATTGCTGCAAGTTAAAGGATAGCCTGGGCTCCGAAGTGAGTTCAAGGCCAGCCTGAACTGCATAACAAGACCCTGTCTCAAAAAGAGAAAAAAAAGGATACCATGCTCCTATTAAAAATAATAATATAAAAATAACAATAGTAATTAGTGCTATAAAATATAACGGCATGCTAAGTGGAAATGAGGATTAACAAGTAAAACGAAGTCTAACATTTTGTAGTGAACATGTACATATATGCACAGAGTAAAAGCTGGAGTCAAAACATTAACAGTGGTCATCTTTGGGGAGCAGGCGTATGGATATTTGCTTTCTTATGTCTTTTGATGTTGCCTGAGGAAAAAAATACATAGCCATTTTTCTTTAAAAAAGAAATAACACTATGACGGTGATGTACCCCTCTGTCCTCAGCTCCGGCTGCACAGGGGGGCTGCACAAGCAAAGGCCCAGCCCTGAAAGTTTCTGCCCTGCTGAGCTCCTAATTCCTCGCCCCTGAAGTCCCCTTCCTGCTCCGGCCACCCGCACCGCTCACCACTCCATTGTCTCCCTTTTTTCAGACTCTGCCCAATTCCTTTGTAGAAGTTTTTGTTCCCCGCTGGACCCTAAGCAGGCAGGGCCTGGGAACAAAGCCTGTGCCTGGTCGAGATTCACAGCGCATCCCTTGCAGGCTGCTCTTCCCACCAAGGCACAAAGTATCTGGTTCCGGCTGTGTCCTAGGCGCACGCGTGACAAACACCGAGGGCTTGTGAGCCGTGCAGAGGTCTGGGGCCCTGAGCTCAGAAAAGCTCCACAGAGTCACCTTGGGACTTGTGCTCGTAAGTGGAGTGGGGCGGGACCACCTGGTGCATGGGGACTTGGAGCCCACTTGCAGTCCCACCTTTTTTTTTCCAGTATTGGGGAATGGACTCAGGATTTTTCCATTGAGCTAAATCTCCAGGCTTTTTCTTTTCTTTTGTTTTGTATTGCTTTTAGACAAGTTCTTTATAAATTATTGAATTGCCCAGGTTGGGCTCAACCTTGAAAGCTTCCCACCTCAGCCTCTGAGTGCTGAAATTACAGGTGGGTGCCACCATGCGAGGCTCAGTTCCATCTCTTATTGCATCACTGGGGTGAGACCTCTCAGTTCCCCATCCGAAGGGGTCTTAGTACAGCACAACGAAGGCCAGCCACAGGCCCCGGGCACCAGGGCAGCCTGCACTTCCTGTGAGCATTCCAGTGCCTCAGAGAGCACAGTATTACATAGCAAGTAAGAAGCACCATGTCCCATAAGGGAAAGACCACAGAAGAAAGAAAAAGAAAAAAGCTTTTTTCATCGGTGTGGTGGTACACCTGTAATCCCAGCACTCTAGAGGCTGAGGCAGGAGGATCACTGCAAGTTGGAGACCACCCTGTGCTACATAGTGAATTCAAGGCCAATCCGGAAGACATAGTGAGACCCTGTCTCAAAAAAACTAAAGAAAAAATCCACATGAATGAGATCATTTGATACTTCCTTAGTTTCACCCATGTTATCACATATGACAGGATTTCATTCTTCTTATGGCAGTGATATTCTGTGGTACATACATACCAGGTTCACTTTACCCGTTCGTCTACTAACGGACACTTAGGCTGTTTCCGTTTCTCAGGTATTGTGCATAGTAGTATGGTGAATGTGGGCATGCAGACGTCTCTCTGACGGTGATTTCATTTCCCCTGAACACATATACTCAGTAGTGGGATTACAGGATCACAGGGTAGTTCCATCTTTAATTTTGGGGGGAACTCTATACTGTTTTGCATAATGGCTATATTAATTTACATTCCCACCAACAGTGTGTGAAGGTTCCCTTTTCTCCACATCCTCAATAGCACCCATTATCTCCCATTTTTTTTAATTGTAGCTATTCTAACTGGAGTGAGGTAATAGCTCATTGTGGTTTGGATTTGCATTTCTATAACGAGTGGTGATATTGAGCATTTTTTCATACGCCTATCCACCCCTTATGTGTTTTCTTTTGAGAAATGTCTATTTAGGTCTATCACCCATTTACAATTGGGTTATTTGGGTTTTTTATTGAGTTTTAGACATATTCTGGATATGAATCTCTTGCTAGATGTAGTTTGCAAATATTTTCTCCCAAGGGGTAGATTGTCTCTTTATTTGCTGTGCAGATTTCATTTGATGTAATCCCATTTGTCTATTTTTCCTTTTGTTTCCTGTGTTTTGGGGGTCATACTCTAATAATTATTGCCCATTCTAAAGTCCTAAAATGATTCCTCTGTATTTTTTTTCTAGTACTTTCAGGTCTTAGTTTCAGGTCATAGTTTCAGGTCTTACATTTATGTCTTTAGTGCATTTTAAGTTGAATTTTGTAACTCATGAGAAATAGGGATCTAGCTTCATTCTTCTGCGGGTGGATATCCAATTTTCCCTGCATCCTTTATCAAAGACCATCCTTTCCCCAATCAGTGTTCTTAGCACTTTTGTCAAAGATCAGCTGGCTGCAGATATGTGGATTTACTTCTAGACTCTCTATTCTGTTCCATTGGTCTACATATCTGTTTTTATGCCAGTATCATGCTGTTTTTACTACTTTAGCTTTGAAGTATTTTGAAGTCTTTAGTGTACTGTTTCCTGCTTTGTTCTTTTTGCTCATGATTGCCTTCACTATTCAGGATTTTTTTGTGTCCCTTATTAATTTCAGGATTGTTTTTTCTAATTCTTTGAAGAATGTCATTGGTATTTTCACTGGGATTTCATTTAATTCATAGATCACTTTGGGTAGTATGGACTCTTTAACAACATTTATTCTTCCATGAATGTGCGATATCTTTTCAAATATACGTATTAACATTCTGCCCCTGGCCCCCAAAAGATACATGTACATCCCTTTATGCCAAAATGCTCTTAGTCCATCTCTAAGAGTTGCCAAAGTCCTAACAGTTTCAGCATTGCTGAAAAATCAAGTGCAAAGTCTCCTCTGACATTTAAAGCAAACTCTTATCTATAAGCCTCTGTGAAAATCAAAAGAAGGTTAAACACTGCTGACATACGAAGGCACAGGGTAAACATTCCCGTTCCAAAAGGAAGAAATAGGGGGATAGAAAGGAATGGTACTGAAGCAAGACAGAAATCCAGCAAGGCAAACATTGAATCCAATAGTTTCAAGTCTAGCACTGGGGCAATCAGGTGAGATATGAACTTCATGCTGCATGGGCAGCTCTGCCCCTACAGCGCTGCCAATGGTTGCAGCCTTCATGGCTTCTCTCTGGCACTGGCTTTGCTCACTGCTTGCAGCTTTTCTCAGATGATCCATGTCCCTGGCTTCTCCAACTTCCACTGTACTTCACACTCACAGCTTCACACACTGTCCTCCTATAGGTTCACTGACCCACTCTTCTGAAATCTAGGTAGAATCCTCCATGACCTCACAACTCTTGCCTTGCGCATCTACCTAAAACCAGCCCATGAATGATGACCATGTTGCCACCAGCTGGAGCAGCAGCCGAGTCCTTTTACATCTTTCTGTGGTTGCAGAGGCCTCCAAGTGCCTGCATCACCGAGCACAGCAAACTGAACCCCAGAGATTCAATTTGCATTCCCTAGGTGCAGTGTTCCTGGAGAGTGATGACTTGGGGCTCTCTTCTCAGAGAAGTCTCCCTTTTCCCTCCACGAGTCTGTAAAGGTTGGGGTCATTTCTTCAAGACATCCTCTGTATTGTCCAGATCCAAAGTACTTTGCTTCTTTTTAATGTTAATTTTTTAGTAAACAAACTTTCCTCTGCTCCACCTTTACAGGCCCCAACTGATGGAGACCACCACAAAGTGGCTCTGAGCAGGATTTAAAATTAATCAATTGGCTGTCTACATTTACTTGTGAGTCTGTCCCAGGCCTAAGTGATTTACTTTAAGAACAGTGGCTGGCATGAAGTAAGTGCAACTTTCCAAGCCAACAGTCACAGTTGAGGCCTGTATTGGTCTGTGACACTGTGACACCTCAGAAGGCAAGATAAAGCGCAGCTGAGGACACCTGGCTGTCACTCCAGTTCTTAAGATAAAGATTGCAGCTGCAGCCATTTGGCTCTTGCTGTAAATGTCGACCTTAGAGATGGGACAGTCCTCTTAACTGACAAAATTTACTTTTCCGAGAAGTCTTTGATCTAAACTTCCCAAGGTCCTGCTCAGTTTCCTGTCTTTCCCTCAGCTATTCCTTTTATTTGAAAAACCCAATAAATATGGGTGTGATCCAGAAGACTTGGGGTCTTACCCTTCAGAGAGTTTTAATCTTCCTGGACTCCCCAAAAATCACATTACTTGTCTCTTTTATTTAGACCTTCACTGTAGCTCATTTTAGGAGGTCAGGAGCCTGATCAGTCCCTAATACTCATCTTTCCTGGGGTTTCGTTGTGGGCCAAACTCAAAACTTCTAAAATAATTCAGCTGTGCTACTTTCTCTTTATTCTCAACTAGATCTGGCTACAAGCGCCCAACAGTACCAAAGCCACTGCCTGAATGTCTGTATGCCTTAAAATTTCTGCTGCTGAGTTAGCCTGCTACCTTTAACCTCAGTCTCTCCCAAAGTCTCAGGACATGAGCAAAAAGTAGAAAATTTTTCTGCCAAAGCATAACACACACAGCCTAGAATTCAACTGCCAATAGAGTCCTTTTAGTTCCCAGCTAAAACCTCCTGAACCTGGTCTTTATCAGCTGCATTTCTATCAACATTCTGGTCTTCTGAGCTCTGACCAGAATCCCACACCAAGCTCAGCTTACAGCATTCCAGAGATGCTTCTCCAGCTAGCATCTCCAAATCTTTCCAAACTCCTCCTGCAAGCCAGTTCCACAGGCTTCTGAACCAGATGGCCAGGTAGTATCACAGCAACACTCCCATTCCTGGTATCAAAATCTGTCTTAATTACTTTTTTGTTACTAGAACATCATACCTGATACCCTCAACTCTAAAGAGGAAAGGTCTATTTTGGCTCCCAGGTTGTAGAGCTTTCAGTCCATAGTTGGCTGGCTCCAAGCCCAGGCAGCACGGCAGAGGGGCATGACAGAGAAGAAACAGCTCATGGCATAGTGGTGGGAAGCAGAGAGAGAGAGATCAAGGTATGGAGGAGACAGGGAAATAGACTCTTCCAGGTCACACCCCGTAACCCACCTTCTCTAACCAGGCCTTACCTCCCAGCATCACATTTAGCTATAAACTCATCAATGGACTAATCTACTGATGAGTATCTCACCCCTGTGATCTAATCGCCTCCCAAAAGCCCACCTATGAGCCCTGAAACTTTCGGCAGACATCTACATATAAACCGTAACAATTTTCTGATGTTGAATAATGCTTGAATTTTTGCAGTAAATTTCATTTCATGAAAATAAGTGAATTTGATAAAAGCCAAAGTCCTAAAATGCCCTTCAAGGCCTCACTCTGCCTCTGCCTCTACCCCAATCCCACTTCATTACTCATTGTATTTGCTTACTAGGGCTGCCAAAAGAAAGTACTACAAACTGAGTGGTCTAAAGGGTGCAGATTTACTGTCTCAGAGTTCCAGAGGGGAGAAATCCAAGATCAAGGAGTCAAAGAGCTATTCTTTTCAAGCAATGTATGGGACAAGCTAGCCTATCCCATGCACCTCCCCAGCTCCTGGAGACTTGTGAGCAATTGCTGAAACTCCTTGATCTGCAGCGGCATCACCCAGTCTCGGCACCCATCTTCACACTGCATTCTCCCTGGATGTCTGTGTTAAAATTTCCCCTTTCTATAAGGACACCATTGCAACAAACAATCCCAAATAAAGTCACATGTTAGTGTCCTGGGAGTTAGGCCTTCAACATGTGACTGGGGTAAGGGGGCACAGTTTAACCCAGAACACCTTCTAATAGGATCCTCCCACTTGACCCCTCCCGCACTGCTCCCGCCTTGGGGCATTGGGCCATCAGTTTTTTTTCTGGAGAACTCTTCCTCCAGAACCCTACAAGTAACTTACCCACCTTCCCACAGGCTTGCTGCCTGCTCCTCCCCCACCCCAGGCCACCCTGTCCTCTTGTTTGTACTCTTGCCTCCTCCAGCCTTCCTGGTGTCCTTTACCCCACTCTACTTTCAGGGCTCTTTGCTCACTTCACTCATCATTTCCTAACCTCCCAAGTGCTTTGCTTGTTTATCATATAGTCCCATATTTACTGTCTCCTTCTCCCTCCTCTTGACACTATAAGCATCAGGAAGACCAAGCTCCTTATCTATTTGACCACTCTATTCTAAATAGTACTTAGAAGAGCTTGGCAAGTAGAGCTGCAGTATAATTTGTTTCAGAGAGAAGCTCAATACAAAGAAAGAATGTTGGGATCACACATTCCTCACCACTCTGGGAGGCTAAGGCAAGAGGATTGCAAGTGTGAGCCCCACCCGGGCAATTTAGAAAGACCCTGTCTCAAAAGAAAATAAAGGTGGGGGGGGATTTAGCTCTGCATGAAGATCCTGGGTTCAATCTACAACAACAAAAGACGGATCTATTTCTACAGCCTGCAAGACTCCCAGTGACGTGCCCTCTATCTCTGTCACCTCCAGCCGCTGGAAATAACAGGAGGGAAGTCAGCCCACAGGACTGTAAGCGATGATTTAGCAAAGCAGGAGCTGTTCTGGCAATGCCTGAGACCAAGCAAGGCAAAAAGAATCTAGTCCTGAAGAACAAGAGTTGTGGTTTCAAGACCAGTCCAGGAGAGAATAGCATTATCTTCCAAGCAAGTTAAATAACTGGCAAGGTCAGGTGAAATAATTTCGGGGGGAATCCCTCTACCCCACAGGAGCGCCCCAGAGTAAACTGGACTAGCAGTGCTCATCAGACTCTAACGCTGCAGTTTTCTCATAGATGCCTTCTCCTCTACAGCCCTCCCAGAGAAGGCTTTACCCATGGCCAGAGTGTGAGCCATCACCACCCAAGTGTTTCCCAAGTTCCTGAAGTTGTCACAGGATTCAACATTTACCAGTCCTATCGCTGGGGCCAACCACCTTTTCCTGCCCACAGACCCTTCCTCCCAGTCCTCAAACCTCTTCGAGTCACCCCACATTTTCAAATACACAAATTTGGACCCACTCTGCAAAGTTCTAGACAAAGCAAATTCGAAAGAAGTGAAACTCTTAGCTTTTCAGTCCTCTAGCTCAGGCTACCATACAAAATGGCATAGACTGAGTAGGGAGGGGACTTAAAAACAGAAAATGATTTCTCACAGTCTGGAGCCCAGAGCGTTAAGACCAGCAGCAGCCGGGTTCCCGCACAGGTTCCTTCCTCGCTCACAGTCTGCTGTCTTCTTGATATGTCCTCATGCGAAGGACTGGGGAGCTCTGGTTTCTTCCTCTTCCTTTAAGGATGCTGATCCCATCTCACAGGGCCCCACCCTCATGAGCTCACCTACACCTAATGACCTCTAAAAGCCATCACCTCCAAACCAGATGTGGTAGCTCATATCTATAATCCCAGCACACTGGGCCAGGGGTATAGCTCAGAGGCATAAGCGCCTGCCTGCCAAGCACAAGGTCCTAAATTTGATTCCCAGTACCAAAATAAAAAGACCCCACAAACTATAATCCCAGCCCTCAAAAAGAGGCAGAAAGATAAATGCAAATTTGAGGCCAGCCTGAGCTACATGAAAGACTCTGTCTCAAAAAAACAAAAACAAAACAGAAAGTCCCACCTCCAGGCACTATCACATGTGCATTTGTTTGTTTGTTTGTTTGTTTTTGGTACCGGGAATCGAACTCACAAACTTGCACTTGCCAGGCAGGTGCTTGTGCCGCTGAGCTATATCCCCGGACCTGCATGTGCATTTGGAATATTTAGGGCTTCAACATATGAATTAATCTGTGGAGGGGGCTGGGGATTTAGCTCAGTGGCAAAGCGCCTGCCTGGCAAGCGCAAGGTCATGAGTTCAGTTCCCGGTACCAGAGAAAAACTAAAAAAAACTAAAAACTGAATTAATCTATGGAGGAGGCAGATCTTCAGTCCATCATAAACACCTTCTCACACTTTGACTTGAACAGTTTCCTTTTCTGGTAGTGCTCCCTTACATATTCATAAGGAAAGCTTCCAGTAAATTCTAACAAACTTCTCCATCTTTGATGCAGGCTTATCTATTTTCTCTTACATCCAACCAACTGCACTGAGCTGTACCCTTCATGGCCCAACTGGCATAGTCATCACACCGTCTGACAGCCCCAGCTGCCAAAGTGGTATCCGTGGTTGCAATAAAAATAAAGCACACAAATGGTCCTGAGGGTGGAGGGGCTGGGGATAGGAACTGGGCAGATGGAGACAGGTGGGAAGAAGACTTGTCGTTAATAGCTTTTTTTTTTTTTTTGGTTTTTCTCCGGTACCAGGAACTGAACTCACGACCTTGCGCTTGCCAGGCAGGCGCTTTTGCCGCTGAGCTAAATCCCCAGCCCCCGTTAATAGCTTTTAATACTTTTTGCAACATGGGAAACAGGGCCCATGTATATCTTAAACATTAAAAAAAAAAAAAAAAAACTATTTTTAAAAATTTTTATTAGTACACGTTTGCAGTACATAATGATTACATTCATCCTGAGGGGAGTACACAAACATCCTAATTCTTTTCATGTCCCTCCCCCTGCCTTCCTTCCCACCTGCATTTTCCCTCCTCTTTCCCCCCTCCCTCTTTCTCTTTTTTTCTATTATCTATCTTTTACTTTGCTCTTTACTTACATTTTTGGTTTCTCGTACAAGAGAAACCATGCAATTTTTAAGCACCTGTGTCTGATTTATTTCACTTAACATTATAGTCTCAAGGTGCACCCATTTGCCTACAAATGACTCAGGTTGATCCTTCTTTTATGGCAAAGTAGTGCTCCGCTGTGTATAAACACCATATTTTCTTTATCTATTCAACAAAGTTAGGCACATAGGCCACTCCAAGAAGTAACCATAAACATGGGCATGTGTTTGTGACTGTGCTCTGATGTCTTTAACTCTTTACAGAAGATATCTAAAAAGGAAATAGCTAGGCCAAATGGAATTTCTTATTTTAGCTTTTTGAGGCATCTCCACACTGATTTCCTCAATGGTTGTGCTAGTTTACATGCCTTCCAACAATGTGCAGTGGTCTCCTTTTCCCTTGCAGGCTGACCAACCTTTGTCATTGTTTGGTTTCTTGATAACAGATATTCTTTCTGAAATAGGATGGAATCTCCAGGGTTGTTTTAATTTGCATTTCACTAATGACCAGAGATATCAAACATTTGTTCATGAATTTATTTGCCACCTGTATCTCTTTTTCTGAGAAGTGTCTGCTTCGGTTGCCCATTTTTTGATAGGGTCTCTTATTTTGGAGGTCTAATTTTTTTTTAGTTATTTATATATTTTAAGTATTAGTCCTTTGAGGAATAGCTGGCAAAGTTTGTTCCCATTTTTTTGTACTAAGACTCAAACTCAAGACCTTGCCAGGCAGGTGCTGTGCCACTGAACTATGTCCCCAGCTCCCCATTCTGTAGATAAGCTCTTCACTCTGTTGGTTGTTTCCTTTGCTGGGTAGAAGCTATTTAACTGATATGATCCCATTTGTTGATTTTTGATGTTATCTCTTGTGCAATTGGGGTTCTGTTCGGAAAGTCTTTGCCTATGTGTATGTCTTCAAGAGTTTTACTTATTTTATCTTGCAGCAGATTATTTTTGTTTCAACATTTAGACTTTTAATCTTTTTTTTTTTTTTTTTTTTTTTTTTTTTTGAGACAAGATCTCACCATGTACCCCTGGCTGGCCTTGAGCATGCCAAGTCGTCCTGCCTCAGCTTCTCGAGTGCTGGGATTATAGGCGTGTGACACCAAGCCCAGATGTTTAATACATTTTGATTTTAGTTTAGTATATAGTGAGAGATATGGGCCTGGATTCAATCTTCTGCATGTGGACAGCCAGTTTTCCCAGCACCGTTTGTTAAAGAAGCTATCTTTTCTCCAATGTACATTTTTGGCCCCTTTGTCAAAGATCAGATAGCTGAATATGCTTGGAGTTGTTTTTGCATCCTCTATTTTATTCCATTCATCCATGTGTCTATTTTTTTACCAGTACCATGCTGATTTTATCACTGTAGCTTAGTATTATAATTTGAAACCTGGAATTGTGATGCCCCTTGCCTTGCCCTTGTTGTCCAGAATTGATTTTGCTATTCTAGGTCTCTTCTGGTTTCATATCAAGTTTAGCATTGTTTTCTCTAGGTTGTTTGTTTGTTTGTTTGTTTGTTTGTCTTTTTGAGACAGGGTCTCACTATGCAGTTCAGGTTGGCCTTGAGCTCACTTTTTAGCCCAGGCTGACCTCAAACTCACAACAGTCCTCCTGCTTCAGCCTCCCAAGTGCTGGAATTACAGGTGTGCGCCACCACACTGGGCTGTTTTCTCTAGTTCTGTGATGATTGCTACTAGTATTTTTATTGGAATTATATTATATCTGTACATCAGTTTTGGAAGTATGGCCATTTTACTATATTAGTTCTACCTATACAGGAACAAGATTATCACTCCATTGTCTTTTTTTTTTTTTTTTTTTTTTTTAAGACAGTGTTTCATTTATATATCCCAGGCTGGCCTCAAACTCATGGCTATCCTCTTGCCTCAGTCTCCCAAGTGCTGGGATTATAGCCATGAGCCACCATATTTGACTATCTTTCTACTTTCTTTTCTTTCTCTCTTTCTTTCTTTTTTTCTTTCTTTCTTTCTTTTTTTCTTTCTTTCTTTCTATCTTTCTTTTTGAGACAAGGTCTTGCTGGGTAGTTCAGGATGGCCTTGAACTCACTATGTAGCCCAGGCTGGCCTCAAACTCATGGCAATTCTCCTGCCTCAGCCTCCCTAGTGCTGGCATTACAGGTGTGCGCCACCACATCCAGCTTTACCTTTCCATTTTCTGATGTCCTCTTCAATCTCCTTTTCCAGCCTATTGTAGTTTTCATCGTAGAAGTCTTTCACTTGCTTGGTTATGTTAATTTCTAGGCACTTAATTTTTAATGCTATTTTGAAAGGTATTGTTTCCCTAATTTCTTTCTCAGTGAGTTTATTTTTGATGTACAGGAATGCTATGGATTTTTATGTGTGGCTTTGTTTTTTGCTTTTTATGTGTTGACTTTGCATTCTGCTAAGCTGACTGAATTTGATTGCTAGTTCTAGGAATGTTTTGGTGGAATTTTTTGGGTCTTCTATATATAGAATCATGTCATCCGCAAGTAATAAACAATTTGACTTCCTCCTTTCCCATATATATCCTTTTCATTTCTTTCTCTTCCCTGAAGGGTCTGGCTAATGTTTCAAGAACTATATTGAATGGTAGTGATAACAGCAGACATCCTTGTCTTGTTCCTGATTTTAGAGGGAAAGCTTTTAGCTTTTCCCCATTTAATATGATGTTGGCAGTAGATTTGTCATAAATGACTTTTATCAGATTGAGATAAGGTTCTTCTATACCTATCTTCTTCAAGGCTTTTTTGTTTTGTTTTGTTTTTGTTTTTGTTTTGAGACAAGATTTCACTTTGTGGCCCAGGCTGGTCTCAAACTCACAGTGATCCTCCTGGCTCAGCCCCCTGAGTGCTGGGATTATAAGTATGCGCCACCACACTCAGCTAGGGTTTTTGTTTTTTTTAAGTGATGGCAAAGGTTTATTAATGGTAGGAAAAGAAACAGGCTCTTCAGTGTGAGTTTGGGCCAAGTAAAAGTAGGAAGAGAAACACACCTACAACACCAGGGTGGGCCACCATGCAAGAGAGAACACAGGGACCTCTTCAGGGTTTTACATAAGTAGATGTTAGTTTTTTTTTTGTTTGTTTTTTGTTTCTGTCTTTTTTTGAGACAGGGTGTAGCTATGCAGTTCAGGCTGGCCTTGAACTTACTTTGTAGCCCAGGCTGTTCTCGAACTTGCAACAATCCTCCTGCCTCAGCCTCCCAGGTGCTGGGATTACAGGGATGTGCCACCTAGCCCGATATTTCTTTTCTTTCTTTCTTTTGTTTTTTTTTGTTTTTTTTTTTTTTATGTTGGTTTTTGTCTAAGGCTTTTTCTGTGCCAAATGAGATGATCATGCTATTAAAAAAAAGTATTGTGCCAGGCATGGTGTAATCCCAGCACTCAGGAGGCTGAGGCAGGAGGATTGTTGCAAGTTCAAGACCAGTCTGAGATACAAAGTGAGCACAAAGCCAGTCTAAACTGCGTCGTGAGACCTTGCCTCAAAAAGACAAAAATAAATAAACAAATAAAATTTTTAAAAAAGAATGAAAAGGTCTGGGAGGCTGGGGATATAGTTCAGCGGCACAGCCTGGCAAGGGCAAGGTCCAGAGTTTGATTCCTGGTACCCACCCCCCAAAAAAGGGCTGGGAATACAGCACAGTGAAAAGGCCCTATGTTAAATTATTTTAAAGTACAAAAGGTAATCACTTACCTTTACTTTAGTTTGTTGGTGAGAAGGCGCTGCTGCTTGTTACAGTGATGTCCCTGGCTGGCTGCTCTGACTTCCTCCCAGAGAACCAAGGAGGCCAACTCAAAGGTGGTCTTTCTGGGCCCTGAGCTTGTAGACCTGACTTTCTCTGTATTTTTTCTGCTCCAGATGCTCCAGATCAACTCTTGGCCCTTGTCTCTTTCCTGTTCCTGTTCCCACCCTCAGCCCTCCCCCTTTAAATCAGGGCATCCGCTGGGCATGGTAGCGCACGCCTGTAATCCTAGCACTTGGGAGGCTGAGGCAGGAGGACTGTTGCAAGTTCAAGACCAGCCTGGGCTACAAAGTGAGCTCACGGTCAACCTGAACTGCATAGCGAGACCCTGTCTCAAAAAAGACAAAAGTAAATAAATAAATAAAAATAAATCAGGGCATCCTCACTGTAAAAGAAACTTCTGAGATGTCCTAAATTTAATCACAAGGGCTGAGGGCTGGAAGAGGGGAGAGTGAGATGAGTTCATCAGTAAACAGCTACTGGCCAAACCAAGGAAACTTCTTTCAGGTTCCTAAATGTATGTTACAATCTTAACTGTCTGGGCATGGTGGTGCACGCCTGGAATCGCAGCACGCCAGGAAGGTGAGGCAAGCACATAGCAAGTTCAAACACAGCCTGGGCAATTTAATGATTTAGCAAGGTCCCGTCTCAAAGAGGTAGGGGGATATAGTTCAGCATGAAGGCCCTGGGTTCAATCCCCAGTATAGGAAAAAAAAAAAAAAAAAGACCTTGACTCAGAGTCCATGGTGACCCCCAAGACAGGTACCACCAGTTGTACTTACAGCCCCAACCAATCATAAGCAATGATGCTTCTGTGCACTGCCCTTCTGTCCCCAAACTACTTTTTTTTTTTGAGACAGAGTCTCACTATGTAGTTCAGGTGGACTTGAACTCACTATGTAGCCCAAACTGGCCTCAAACTCATGGCAATCCTCCTGCTTCAGCCTCCTGAGTGCTGGGGTTACAGGTGTGCACCACCACACCAGGCCCAAAGCTATCCTGCTAAAAGCTGGAAATTGGGCCAGGCATAATGGTGAATGACTGTAATTTCAGCACTCATGAGGCTGAGGTAGGAGGATCACCTCGAGTTTATGGCAAGCCTGGGCTACATAGCAAGACCCTGTCTCAAAATAAATTAAAAAATAAATGAATAAATAAAAGTTAGAAATCAATAGAAATAAATGAACAAAGAAGCCAATCTTGTGCAGCCAAGCCCATGTATTTGCAGGTCAGAAGAGGTCTTTCCAGTGGGAGGCTGGATAGATATGTGTGTATTAAAGTACAAATCAGCCGGGCATGGTGGTGCACGCCTGTAATCCCAGCACTTGGGAGGCTGAGACAGGAGGATCATTTCAAGTTCGAGGCCAACCTGGGCTACAGAGTGAGTTTAAGGCCAGCCTGAACTGCATAGCGAGACCTTATCTCAAAAAGACCAAAAACAAAAAAAGAAAGGGCTTTTTTTTTAATACGGTGCTAGAGCTCAAAGCCAAGACCTTCTGCAGGCTCAGCACACACTTTTCCAGGGAGCCAAAAGGGCTTATTTTAGTTTAGTTTTGTTTTGTTTTCCGGTACTGGGAACCGAACTCACGACCTTATGCTTGCCAGGCAGGCGCTTTTGCCGCTGAGCTAAATCCCCAGCCCCAAAATGCCTTATTTTAAATGAAGGATAATGGGTATGTTCCCAGGCCAGTCTAGGCAGGTTCCAAGAGTCAGTGCACAAACAGTAAGGTCAAGCCAGGCAAGGTGGCACACTCCTGTAGTCCAGCACTCTCGAGGCTGAAGCAGGAAGATTGCCGAGTTTGAGGTCAGCCTGGACTACATAGTGAGACCCTGTCTCAGAAAACCAAAAAGAAAAAAGAAACAGAAAAGAAACAGTAACGTCAGAGAGGGCTCAATGGGAGATAAGGAGAGGTAAGACGGAAAGCAAAACTTTTCAGACCGAGGGGTGTGTGAAATAAGAGCGTTTATTGAGGGCTGGGATGTAACTCAGCGTCACAGCACTTTCCTAGCATGAGAAAGAGACGCCTAGGGTCCGGTATGAGAGAAGTGCAGGGCTTCCGCGCCCTCTCGGGAGGTGAACCTGCGTTGCTAGGCTGGTGAGGGGGTGGCGCGCTTGGGATTTCGCAAACCCTACGCTGCGCAGGCGCAGGTGTGATTGCTGACAGCAGAGTCGGGGGCGCGCACACAGCAGGACCTGTCTGTGCAGATTCTTGGCCTCCCTACAGCATTCCTCCTCCAGGGTGTCCGAACAGGACCCCCAGGAATGAGGCGTCCTGTGACCTCCTACCTGACCAGGGTAGGTCAGAGAGCTCCTTATGGCCAGCCCCAGGGGAGATTTAAAGTCCCTATGACCCGCTTTGGGGAAGAAAAATTTCTTTTTTTAAAAAATGTACCGGAAATCAAACTCAGGACCTCACACTGCCAGGAAGGCGCTGTGGCACTGAGCTATATCTCCAGTCCTGGGGAAGAAAAGTTTCTAGGGCCTGCCTTGTTAAAGGAATTTTGGGGCACAAACTGCGGGCAAAATCCAAAATAAGGGTGTCGTAATATCACAGTCCTAATCTAACTACCTTATGAGCTGTTTTGTTTTGTTTTTTGTTTTGAGACAAGGTCTAGCTATGTAGTGCAGGCTGGCATTTAACCCGCTTACGTAGCTCAGGCTGACCTGGAACTAACGGTGAACCTCGTGCTTCCACCTCTCAAGTGCTACCTATGAGCTTTGTGATTTTCTACAAATGAATTCTTTTTTTTTTTTTTTTTTTTTTAGACAGGGTCTCACTGTGCAGTTCAGGCTGGCCTTGAGCTCGCTTTGTAGCCTAGGTTGGTCTTGAACTCGCAATGGTCCTCCTGCCTCAGCCTCCCAAGTGCTGGTATTACAGATATGCCCTACCACACCCCCCAATGAATACTTTTTAGAGCCTCTGTTTTCTCATTTGCAGGATGAAGAAACGCAATGAATGCGAACCTGGTAGCATGCAGTGGGTGTCAGATAAGTGTCACCAATTATTCCACGGTTTAGCTTATTGCCTCTGTATGTGTAAACAGATAAAGTGAAGGCTGATTTTTACAGTAAGAAAGGTGGAGTTTCACAGTAAGAAATTCTAAAAGGGCTGAGGGTGTAGCTCAGTGGTAGAATGTGTGTTTAGTATGTGCAAGACCATGGATTTAATCCTGAACACCACAAAGAAAAAAAAAAAAACTCTGAAGTGTAGACTCACAGAGCAAATGTGGAAACTCTACTATCCTAAAAAATGCCCCATTGACTTTCATTTAATTTCCTCTTACAAAAGAAAAGCTATCATTAGCCACCGTGTTTAATGAGCACCTACTATGATAAATACCACCTGTACCTATGGGCTAATCACAGTCTCGGCCATAGAGGACTTAATGGGAAAACTGCAATGAAAAACACATGTTAAAACTACAGAGTAAAATTTTACTAAGCAAAATTATAAAACTGTGTATATTCTATGAAATAAATCTTTAAAAAAAAAACGAAAACAATAACAACAACAAAAAAAGAACTACAAGAGTGGCAAACAAAGATTCCTAGAAGAGGGAGTCTTTGAGTTGGATCTTGCAGGATGTGTAGGAGTTTTCCAGGTAGACCCAATGAAAGAGGACTACTGTCCAGCCAGATAAAAAAAGCATATGTAAGGGCCTCCCTCAGTGAAAGAGCAATGAGACCCAGTGTTAACAGTGTTAGAGCCTGTCTTACTTTTCTCATTACTGAGAGAAAGTTCTCAACACCTAAAGTTAAAGGAGGGAAAATTTATTGTAGCTCACAGTTTCAGTCCATAGTTGGCTGGCTCTAAGGCAGGCTGGCATGGCAGAGGGGCATCACAGAGGAGAAACAGTTTATGGTGGGCAGAAGGCAGCAAAGTAGCAAAGAAGCACCTGAAAGCAACAGCAGCAGCCCTCTTTCTGTCCCTTATTTCCTATCCAGGCTACACACCTTTAGGGCAGTAGCACTCCCGTCCAGGGTGGGACACCCTTAATCCTAGCATTGCAAGGTGAATCAATCCCAGCTGCACACACCTTAGACCCAGCCACCTCTGAAAAGTACCGCTATCACCACATGAGGTTTTGGGGAACATCTAGACACAGCCATAACAGAGCCCAAGAAAAGTGGATGAGTCTGAAGAGGAAAGTGGGGACCAAAATGTAACAAGGAGCTGGGTGTGATGGTGCACACCTGTAATCCCAGCACTTGGGAGGCTGGGGCAGGAGGACTGTTGCCAGTTCAAGGCCAGCCTGGGCTACAAAGTGAGCTCAAGGCCAACCTGAACTGCATACTGAGACCCTGTCTCAAAAAGACAAAAAAAAAGTAACAAGGACTTAGAGGCTGCTGTTGCTGAGAGCACACTCTTCACTTAGGCCTGCAAGCAGGCAGCGAGTAACGGAAAGCAGGACAAAGCCTGCACTTTGACTCTATCTCTGCTGATAGTCCTTTCCTGCAGTCACCGGATGAGTGGAGAGTCCTGCAGGGCAACAGCAACCTGTTTAGCCACGGATGAGGCTGCTGACCAACCTAAGATAATGATCGCAGCCCGCAGTTTCACCAAGATGGTTTGACCCTGGGCACTTCCGGGCCCCTTCCTGTATAAACTGAGGGCTTGTGTGCCAGTGTCCCCAAAGACCAGCCCAAAGGCGCTAGTCCTCTTGTCTGCCCAGCACAGGCAGGTCCTTTCCTGCTGTTCAAAATTCCTTTTCCACTTGGTTTTTGCAGGCAAGTGGGCAGGCCTGACTTGTTGGGACCTCTGGCCTAGGACTCTGGTAATGAAGTGACGTGCCCACTGACCACACTACAGAGTTTGAGTTCTGTGCTGCCAGCAAAGAACTGTAGCAGTTTTAGGGAGTTGCTCCAAGGGCAGAGTGGGACTGGAGTGGCAGGAGAGGGCGACGCTGCCCAGGATTGCCTGGGCACTTGCTAAGCATTCAGAGTCCAGCCTTCAGGCAGCAGGGCCCAGGGAAGGGCCTGGAAGGGCGTCATTAACAGGAACCCTATGTTTTCCAATAACCAAGTGCATATTATAGCCATCAGCTTCTGAAAGGGACTTGGGGGAGGAAAGCAGCTTTTGGTGGGAGGGGTCCGGAGGATGGAACCTGCATAAGGCTGTGAGGGGTTTGCCGGCCAGGAGAAGCCTCGCCTCATGCCTGCTTGGATGGTTGGCTGCTTACCAAGAGAGGAAATGCAGGAGAAAGAGCACATTAGGGAGAGCGAGGGTGACATCTTCTTGACCAGGAAGTCATCCAAACCTTGGTTCTTGAGGTATCAACAAAGCCATGCAGACAGAGGGCGCTCAAGGGAACTATGTCTCAGATAAATACAGGGCCACCGCTCCCAAAAGCACTTGCTTTCTTTTATGCTTAGCACACACTTCTGTTACTGAAATATCTGTCTTTTGATCACGTTCAGTAGTCATCAGGACAATAAATTACATCATGACATTGGGATGCAGACCAGCACAGAGCAGAACATTCCCTAGATCTCAGCAAGCCAGCTGCCTGACAGGGACAAGCTGCCTCCTGCCTGCTGACTGGATCCAGGCACAGAAGCCTGTGGGTGACATTGATGGACTCAGAGGAAATGCGACCTCTCCCATACTCATTCTCTTTGTCTTCTTGATGCTACTGAAGAAACACACACTTCCCTTTAAAGGGAGAGGGACTGCGTGAAAAGTACACTCACTACTCAGAAAACCTGGGAGCCTAGCTGGGCATGGTGGTGCACATTCATTAAACCCTGTACTCTGAGGAGCTGAGGCTGGAAGACGAAAGTTCAGTCCCAGCCTGAACAATTTAGCAATTTAGCAAGATACTCTCTCAAAATACAAACAAGTAAATAAAGGGCAGGGGATGTAGCTCAATGCAAAGGCACTGGGTTTAATCCCCAATGCCACAAAAAAAAGAAAACCTGGGATACAGTCAATTGAAGTTGGGCAGCTTAACCTCTGAGAATCTCTTTCTGTTCTTCATAAAATAGGGATGGTAGGGCTGGGGATTTAGCTCAGCGGCAAAGCGCCTGCCTGGCAAGCACAAGGTCGTGAGTTCGGTTCCTGGTAACGGAGAAAAACCAAAAAAATAAAATAGGGATGGTGATGATGATGATGATGATGATGATGATGATGATAACCGATGAGAATCCTGACTTTAAAATGTATCAAAAACTATTCAGGGCTTGCAAGAAACAGACACCCAGGCTCATGGGGTCACGCTGCAGTAGAGTTGATGGCAATGGTACCCCAGACAATCACACCACCCTTCAAGTCAGGTGTTCACCCGCACCTGGCCCCTGTGGGGGAAGCTGGATGTTGCCGTGACTTCCTCGGTGCCATTCTCTTTGGGGCCGCGTGGTCTCCCATCCCTGTGGGTCCAGTCTTCTCACGTGGCAGATACAGCTGTTTATCCACTGTCCACTCTTCTTCACTATCAGGACCTCAGTTGGATGGAGATAGCCTAAGCCAATTGTAGTAATCTGTTGCCCACTTTCCTAGCCTCCTTTATGCCTACTGATAGCCATGTGTATAACTCTGGACAAATGAGGCCTTAGAAAACTGCGAGAATTCTGGGAAATTTCTTGCTTTTGCCATGTGGTGGCCCTTCTTCTTTTCTCTTTCTTTTGGTTGTGATGGCTAGAGCCACAGCACCACCATGGGACCATGAGAGAAGGGAGAAAAGCATCGGGAAGAGATCAGTCAGCCTTGAACATCATTGAGACCCAGAAACAACGTTAGCAAGCATTGCATATAAAATAACAAAAAGCAAAAACTCCTCACTCCTGTGTTTTTAAGTCACTGAGAGTTACTTTGTTACTTGCAGATGACGACACCCCTAACTGATAATCTAATTTGGGATTTTCCAAATTCCAATCATCTCCAAACTCTCTTCAGGATTTTTGCCGCATCTACTTGAGCATGGTGCTTGCTGTGGTTTGGCTAAGTGCCTCCAAAGGATTATGTGTTAAGTACTTGGTCCCCAATGTGGCAGTTTGGGGAGATAGTGGAACCTTTGGATGGGTCTAATGGGAGGTCCTTAGACCACTGCGGACCTGTCCTGGTCCATGTCTGTAATCCCAGAACCCAGGGGGCTGAGGCAGTAGGATCACTGTGAGTTCAAGGCCAGCCTGGGCTTCACAGTGAATTCAAGCCCAGCCTGGAATACATAGCAAGATCCTATCTCAAAAACAAAAAATGAAAATAAAATAACAAAGGGAATTATGGGACCCTGGCCTCTTCTTTGCTTCTTGGCTGATGAGGCAAGTGGCTTTGCCTCTCTACAGGCCCAAAGCAATGGGGTCACTTGATCCTGGGCTGGAAAGGCCAAAACCATGAACCAAAATAAAGTTTTTCTCTTCATAAGTTAGTTATCTTATTATCTTTATAAATTTCTTTGTTACAGTAACAGGAATCTGACTAACACAGTGTTTTCCTTAAATCAACTCGCTTTTCTTAACTTAAATATCTTCTTTAGCCACCTGGATTTCATGTGTGAGGTTTTTTTTCTTTTTCCAATACATATTAAAATAAATAATGACTAAAATTTAAAAATTCACCATCCAATAACAACCTCTCCCTACCAACGATCTTCTTTGCAAAAGCAAAACCAGCTGTGTTTCTGTCTCAGATCTCTGCTCCAAATCCTCAGATGAAAGGTTGTTGATCAAATTCTTCTCCTGAGTCAGGGGACACTTAGTATCACCCACTCCTCTAGGAGGTAGAGGTGACTGACAGGTCTGCTTAATCATGAGACTTACACAGGATTAGTATCATGCTTATTGATGTGGGTTTTTTGGGTTTTGGGGGTTTTTTTGTAGTGGGAATCGAACTCAGGACCTGTGCTTACCAGGAAGGCACTGTGCCACTGAGCTATACCTCTGGCCCTATTGTTTTTGTTGGTAGTAGTGGTGGTGTAGTAGTAACTGATCATGTTTCAAAACTAAGATACCTACTGGGGTATGGTGGCACACATCTGTAATCCCAGCACTCGGGAGGCTGAGGCAGGAGGATCACTACGAGTTAGAGGCCAGCCTGGGCTACAAAGTGAGCTCAAGGCCAGCCTGAACTGCATAGTGAGACCCTGTCTCAAAAAGACAAAAAAAAAAAAAAAGAAAAAACTAAGACATCTGCAAGCTGGGCACCGTGGCACATAACTGTTATCCTGGCAGTTGGAAGGCTGAGACAGTAGGATCTCAAGTTCTAGACCAGCCTGGGCTACACAGATAGTAAGACCTGGTCTCAAAAAAAAATTCCTAAGCTGTCTGCCCACCTGAAGATAAATTAGGGAACATTGGTCTGTTCTTTTTTGTCTGTGCAGAGAAAACTGGCTGGGGGAGCAATGAGAATGCCCAGGTCAGCTGGTACTGCTGGTTCATCAGAAGAAGGAAATTCCTTCCTGCAGCTTGCCAAGTTCATCTCCCAGCATCCCCCATGCAAAATCCACTTGATGACAACAGTAGCATTTCAAGTAGGTGGAGAAAAATGAGTGTTTAACACGCAGCATAAGGATAGTTAGTGTTATGGCCTGTATCTAGATGTCCCCACAAAGCCTCATTCAGTCATAGGTGGGGTTTTTCAGAGGCGGCTGGGTCTAGGGTATGTGATGCTGGGATTAAGGGTGCCCTGCCCTGGGAGTAAGTGCTACCTGCCCCAAGAATGAGTAGACTGATGGCATATAAGGGACAGAACAGGGCTGCTGCCATCACTTGCTGCTGCTGCTGCTGTTTCTGTTGCTGCTGCTTATCTTCTGCTGTCTCCCGCCTGCTCCGTGATGCCCCTCCGCATGCCGCCCTGCCTTGGAGACAGTCAACTATGGACTAAAACTTCTGCAGTGAGCCAAAATAAACCTTTCCTCCTTTAACTCTGGGGGCGGGGTATTTTGTCTCCACAATGAGAAAAGTAGCTAAAACAGTTGGCAAATTCTTAGGAGAAGAATTTGTTTTGTCCCTAATTAATTGAGATTATTCCACTCACAAACACACATACACAGAAATTCAGATGAATCAAAGACTTGAATAGAAATTGTCATGCATTTATACAGCAGACTATAATGTTGCAATTAGAAAATGAAGAAGTTAATATATACATACTAACAAGAAAATAATGTTCAATGAAAAAGTAGCTTATAGGTAGCATTATAGAAGGATGCAGTTTGTGTTAACTATATTCATGTATGGGTAGATATACCCTTGTGAATGTATGCATATAAAGGCATTACGAGTTTCAAAAAGGCAAACTTCAATTCAGCACCAGTAATTTTATTTTTACGGAATTGCGCAATCATTTAGTTAGTGGTTGCAAAGATCAACTATTCAAATTCACACACACATAAAAACTTTTTCTTGGGCATGGTAACTCAGTGGTAGAACACATACTTAATATGCATGAAATCCTGGGGTTCAGTCTCTACCACCAAAAATAAATAAATACATGTATAAACTTCTACCATCCCTCTTTTTCTCCCACTCTATTGAAGGAGAGGGGTAAATAATTAGTTCTGAAGAAGTAAGTAGGATGCAATTGTGTGTCATCCATCCAATTAAAAGTAAAGAGAACAGTAAAATTTTAAAGGAAAAAGTGAAACCACAAAGTAATAGAATAATGTAAAGGAATTTTTATAGTCTTGACACGGTAATCAGCTCTCTTAGTCCTATGCCAGTGACAAGAAAGGAAAAGTTTGACAAATTTGACGTGAGAATGTCTAATCTCCATATGGCAACACACACCAACTATATAGTTTTTAATTATCTTAACTATGTCTATGTTTATTGTCTCTTAGAGAAATAACAAAATGAAAAAATATTTGCTACATGATAAAGAGTAGTGTTAAACTATGGATTGTATTTTGTAAGAAAGTAGAATATTGCAAGCCAAATAGCAAAGTAAATAAAAGACATAAAGAAGCCAGACATAGTGGCACATGCCTGTAATCCCAGTTACTTAAGAGGCTGAGACAGAATTGCAAATCTGAGACCTGCTTGGGTAACTTAGCAAGAAACAAACAAAAAAGGCATAAAGAAGTACTTCATAAAGAAGACATGCAAATGGCCAAAACTCACATTCAAAAGGTTCCACCTCACCAGGAACTACTCAGAAACAAATTTAAATGAAATGTCATTTTTCTTAGATATGGATAGGTTTCAAAAGATTTTTAATAGCTAGTTGTTCGCAAGCATGGGAGGAGACAGGTGCCCTTGCATTCTGTTGATAGAATTCTAAATTGACACAGACTTCTGGGGGTTAATTTAAAAGACAGATATCAAAATTTGAAATGAGCGCCTATGTTACCCTCTGTTATGATTTGTGTTTGGGTGTCCCCCCCAAAGCCTCATGCAGTCATGAGGTGGGCTTCTAGAGTTTATGACTGATCCATAGTCCAACACTGGGATTATGGGTGTGAATGCTACACCCGCCCTGGGACAAGTAGTTTGCCTACAATCTAAGGAAGGGAAAGAGGCTGCTTGCCGCCACTCCTCCCTTTTTGCTCTTGTTGCTTTTGCTGTTTTCCATCACCATGAACTGTTGCCCTGTGCCATGTGCCACGCTGCCTTGGAGCCAGCCAAGCGTGGACTGAAACCTCCACAGAATGTGAGCTAAATAAACCTTTCCTTCCTTAATTCTGGATGTAAGGTATTTTGTCTCAACAATGAGAAAAAAGTAATGAAGACACCCTCCTGTAGGAATAGTCACAGGTGTGCAAACATACAGAAATAAGAATGGCCACTATTTTGAAAAGTTAAAAACAGCCTAAGTGCTCATCAATAAGGCTTTGGTTAAATAAATCTGTGAAAGCTGGAACTGTTATGGAAACCAAGAACATGTTGTGAAAGGTAAGGGTGATCTTCATATACTGACACAAAACATATGATGTTACAATTCCATGTGTTACTCTCTTTTATTGTACTATGTAACCCGCTGGTAAGGTACACACCATAATACTTATCTCTATGTGCATTACCTAGAATTTCAGGAAAAGTTTGTATAATACTTAAGCTTTTTACAAGGAGCTTTATATGGTGACAAATGTCAATAAGATCTCATTTTAGTAGCTAGGCATGACAGCTCGTGCCTCAAGGAGGATGAGGGAGGAGGATGGCAAGTTCAAGTCCAGCCCACGCAAATTAGTGACTTATTGAGACCTTGTGTCAAAACAAAAATAAATTTAAAAGGGTTGGAGTTTGTTGCTCAGTGCAAAGGCCCACAACCCATAGGACCACAGAGGGTGAAATCTCATTTTGAAAAAAACTAGGGAAGAAATATGCTATGCACATAGTCCTTTACAGGATTAATTAATGCATTCTCTTATTCAGCCAACAATAACCTTATTGTGTGGCAGGTGCTGCTTCAAGTATTAGGATAGACGCTAAAGAACTTAACTAGAACTCTGAGAATTCATCTTTACTTCCTGACCCCAAACCATAACATCCCTAGTGTCTTAGTTACTTTTCTCCTTGCTGCAACAAAATACCCAACTCCCAAAGTTAAGGGAGGAAAGGTTTATTCAGCTCACAGTTTGTAGAGATTTTAGTCCATAGTCAGCTGGCTCCAAGGCAGGGAGGCACTTGCCAGAGGGAGGCACTTTGCGGCAGAAGACAGCAGAAGCAATAAGAGACCTTAACAGTGCCTTTCTGCCCCTTTTATTTTACCCAGACTGCTGGGATTAGAGTGGTGCCATATCAGTCAGTGGACTGATTATTAATCGCACAGCCTTAATCCCAGCATTACACACTCTAGATCCAGCCACCACTGAAAAAGCCCTGTGACTGCATGAGGCTTTGGAGGGACATCTAGACACGAGTCATAACACCTCAGCACCTCATATGTACACTTTCCACTTTTACTTCTACCACAGAGGAGTTGCTGTCCCTTAGCCCCTCAAACCTAGTTCCACCACCTGTGCCCTGGAGTCTATCTCCCCATTTTCTCAGAAGCCTCACATTATTATCATGCTTTCTTAATCTTTAACCTCTCCTTCTCTCCTATGTTCTGCTTGTCAGCAATGAAAACTATTCATGCACCCTCCGTATTAAATAAAATGAAAGGAGGAAGAGAGAGAGGGGGAAGGCAGGAGGGAAATTCTGGGTGGAATTATTGAGGGAAGGAGAAGGAAGGGGAGAGGAAAGAGGCATCTAAAGCATATTCTCCAAAAGTGATAACTTCTAAACATTTTCAGAAAAATGCAGTGACTATAGCAAAAACATGATGGAGGAAGCAGTATAAAAGCAGGGACACTTTGGAGAGCAGAGGCAGGAGGATCGCTGACAGTTTGAGGTCAGCCTAGGCTACATAGTGAGTCCAAGGCCAGCCTGAACTACAGAGGGAGATCCTGTCTCGAAAGAAAGAAAGAAAGAAAGAAAGAAAGAAAGAAAGAAAGAAAGAAAGAAAGAAAGAAAGAAAGACCGTGAGCTAGGCAGAGAAGGTGCCTCTGTCCCTCTGACCCCAGACCCCACCCAGCCCTGCATGCCCAGGACCAGCCTTGGTGTTAGATCTTGGACAATCTCAACAGCGGATGGCCCATATCTCTCCAGCTATCCCTCAGCCCCTCCTCCCCTACAGGCAGACTTTTAGAAAGAATTATCTACTTCTGTCCATTTCCTCACCACCTGCCCGCACCTCAAACTATGAAATCAGGGGTTGAGCCCCAGCACTCCACCAAATGCACAGACCTTTCAGTCTGTCTCAGCTTCCCTGCAGCATTTGATGCCACACTTTTGCCTATTTTTTTCTTGCTACTCTTTGCCAGCATATCCTCTTGGGACCAACTTCTTGGCACTGGGGCTCCAACAGGTCTTGATTTACTTTCTCTTCTCCCTCTGCCCTCTTCCTAGATTATCTCATCTAAGACGGGACAGTAATCGCTGCAAAAACACCAATGATTCCTGCAAATGTATCATCCACGGAGACCTCCCAAATGACCTCCTAGAGTGCTGATCTTGTCAATATCTCTCCACTTGGGTGTCCTATCCCTTGGAGGCAGAACCTGTGGATTAGTTCTAATCAGAATATGGATCAGGTAATAGCTATCAATTGCCTCTTATTTATATTATCATACATGGCAAGGGTAATAGAATGTCACTCAGGATCACATTGTTACATATGACTCCATCTCAGTACACTAGTGTGAGAAAGACTCCGTTGGTGGCTTTGAACAAGTGAGCTGTCATATTTGTCAAGACACTATGGGTGACCTCTGGTAGCCAGAAAAGGCAAGGGTGACACCTGCCATGTGGCAATGACAGGAAGATGAACTTTACCAACTACCTGAGTAAAGCTTGGAAATAGATCTTCCCCCAGCTGAACATCTGATGAGACCACAGCCCTGGTCTCAACACCTGGACTGAAGTCTGGTGAGACTCTGAGCTAAGAAGTATCTGGATTCTTGTTTTCTTTTTTTTGAGACAGGGTCTCGCTATACAGTTTGGGCTGGCCTTGAGCTCACTTTTTGTAGCCCAGGCCGGTCTCGAACTTGAAATGATCTTCCTGCCTCAGCCTCTGGAGTGCTGGGATTATAGGCGTCTGCCACCATGCCCAGCCTTGGAAGTATCTGGACTCTTGACCCCACACACTGTGAAAGAATGCATGGGTGTTAATTGTGGTGGCTGAGTTAGTGATTATTTGTTACTCAGCACAAAAAACAAGTACAGCATCTATCCAACCCATCACAATAACTTTTTGGTTTCTTCACTGAAATAATTTTTAAAAGTAATATAAAATAATTCAATCACAAATTATGGTGAATTTATACAACACACTATAATGCTGTAATTTGAAAACAAATAATTATATCATTTGTGTTAAATATATTCATGTATATAAATATGGATATACTTAGACATAGATGTAGATATATCTGATATCATAATCCTCCTGCCTTGGACTTCCAGAGTGTAGGGATTACAGGCATGCACCACTATGCCCAGCTTGCATTTGCTATAAAATCACATAAGAAATAATGAAGGAAGTTAGATTAAAATACAATAATACTAATTTTTATATTTATCTATATAGTCATCTTTAGCAGTGATCTTTATTTCATCATATCACCTCAGTTTACCATCTAATATCCTTTTGCTTCAGCTTAAAGAATTCTTATTAGCACTTATAGAAGGGTATGTATACTAATGTGAAGCTACTTTAGCTTGAAGGATAGTTTTGCTGGGTATAGTATTCCTGGGTGGCAGATTTGTCTTTTAGCACTGTAAAGATAGCATCATCCACTGCCTTCTAAACCCATTGTTTCTGATGAGAAAGTAGCTGTTAATTTTATTGAAGGTAGCTTGTATATGACAAGACAGTTATCTCTTGCTACTTTCAAGATTTTGTCTTTACCTTTCAGCATTTTGATGATAATGCGTCTCTGTATAAATCTCCTGGTTTCTCCTGCTCTAAGTTTATTGAACATACAGGGTGTATAGATTCATGTATTTCTTTAAATTGTGGAAGTTTGTGGTCATTATTTCTTCAAATATTTTCTCTGCCCCTTTTTCTTTTTCATAACTATCTGTGACTTCCATATGCTTAATGGTGTCCAATATGTCCAATAGGCTCTATTCATTTTTTCATTTTATTCTTTCTGCTTCTCAAAGTGGGTAATTTTAATTGCTCTGTCTTCAAGATTATTTCTTCTGCCTGCTCAAATCTGCTATTGAATCCCTCTAGAAAATTATTTTACTTCAGTTTTGTACTTTTTAGCTCCAAAATTTCTATTTGGTTTCCTCTATCACTTCTACTTATTTATTAATATTTTATACTTAGCCATGCATTTTTTTTTGGGTACCAGGAATTGAACTCACAACCTCGTGCTTGCCAGGTAGGTGCCATGCCACTGAGCTATATCCCTGGCCCTTACTTATTCACACATTATCCTCCTGGTTTTTCTTAGCTATTTGTCTGTTTCTACTAGTTCTTTCTTTTTCCTTCAGTATATTTAAGACAGCTAATTTAAATTTTTTCTGTAAGTCAAGTGACTGAGCTTCCTCAGACATTTCTATCAATGCCCTTTGTGTACTGTGAAAGAGCCATACTTTCCTATTTCTTTGCTCTCTCCTGTTTCTTTTATGATGTTTCTTTTATGATAACTGGACATTTTAAATATTAAACTTGTGACTCTTGCCTGGCATGGTGGGGCACACCTGTAATCCTAGCACTTGGGAGGCTGAGGCAGGAGGACTGTTGTGAGTTTCAGACCAGCCTGGGCTACAAAGTGAGCTCAAGGCCAGCCTGAACTGCATAACAAGACCTGTCTCAAAAAGACTAAATAAATAAATAAAAAAAAACTGTGACTCTGAAAATCAGATTATCTTCCTCCACCCTGTCCTGAGGATTGTTGCTGCTTGATGAAGGCTATTGGCATCCACTTATTTAGAGCCTTTTCCAAGCTATTTTTGCAAAAATATTCCTTACATATATATAGGAATAGTGTGTGTGTGTGTGTGTGTGTGTATGAATATGACAAGGAATAATGTGTATATATATATATATATATATATATATATATATATATATATTCACAGAAGCCTCTATTATCGCTACAGTCAGCCAATGGCCTAAAAGATTTCCTTCAATGCCTGAATCTAAAAAGAAAAGAAGATAAGAGAAAAAGACAGTTCAATTCTTTAAATCCACCAGTAGGGAAGCCACTTTGGCCCGGCGCCATGGAGGTCAGAAGAATGCCAGTCTATGTGGGGGGCCCCTTAGTGAACTGCAAGGCAGATCAAAACATACAACCCTGGTTATTGGAAGACAAGGTCCCTATTGCCCATTTGCACATCAGCAAGCTACCTCAGAGTTATGGACTATCATTCCCATGACTGCCTGTGGTAAGCATAAATTCACCAAAATTTACCACCCTCTTTCCTCATCAGGCATTCTCCTGTGTGCTGCTAGTGTTCCAAGGAGTTAATTCTGACAGTATTTGCCAGCTCAGTAGTTATTCAATAAGAGGTCAGGTACCAAGAGGATCCTACTCTGCCATTTTCCATGACATCACTCTTCCCCACCTCACCCCATATTTGTTTTGACTCCACAGGAAACAGATGGCACACTCAAGATAGGATAATTCAAGGAGGATGTATTTACCAAGACCTATTTATGAAAGTGTGGATGTAGGAAAACCACAATAGAGAATAATATAATAACACAGGATTAACAGTAACCAAACCGATAACTACCTCTAGACCCAAAAGGTTGAAGAGAGATACGGTTACTAGGACCAGGCAGGAAAGAAAGAGCTGTGTTGAGGTTGACCTTGAGAGGAACAGAGGATCTCTCATATGCTGAACATGTATAGGTACCAATACCCCACAATGAATGCATGTATCATGTGTCATAAACATATACTAATAAAAAAAGAGGGAAGAAAAAACAAGATAAAGGAAGCAAGGATTAAATGCCCTAATATTATTCTCTTCTGTCTAACTTCTCCCTTACCTGTCGGCCTCTATTGATCAAAAATACCTGAGTGCAAGAGGGCCCAGTTTATGTCAGAGTGGAAAAAAGTGAGGAGCAGATCTCAAAGACTAAGTAGAGGATAGTCAGCATTCCACAACCCCCAAGTTCCATGTGTCCACCTTTAATTTGAATAGAAGCCAGGTGCCGTGGTACATGCCTATGATATCAGCACTCTGCTGAGGCAGGAGGATCACAAATTTAAATACAGCCTGGGCAATTGAACAAGACTCTGTGTCAAAATTTTTTTTAAAAGGACTGGGATGTAGTTCAGT